AAACGATGGTCTACAGGCAAAATCTGGCCCTCTGCCTCTTTTTGTATGGCCTGCAGGCTAAGCATTTTTCCCCCCCAATTTTTAATGGTTGAAAAAAATTAGAATCATGCTTAATGATGTGTGAAAATTACAAAGTTCAAATTTTATTGTCTATGACTAAAGTTTTATTGGCCATAGCCACACTCCTTTATTTAGGTATTGCCTGGCTATTTTCTCACCACAGTGACAGAGGTGGATAGTCATGAAGAAACTGTACAGTCTGCAAAGCTGAGAAAATTTACTTTCTGACCCTTTATAGAAAGGGTTTGGTGACCTTGGTTTATGTGAAACCCTTAGTCCCAGTATGTGAAAGCCTTTAGGGCCATTTAGAGACTTGCTCTTACCATGTTGGTGTCTGTCACAAGACCCCAAGAACCCATAAGAAGATCCCCAGATGGAATATCTGGGGACAAACACCTCTGAATTGGGATCAAAGTTGTCTTTTCAGATTTGTTCTCTCAATGTCTCCTGACAATTTTCCTGTCACTTATTGTGTGAAGTAGGTAGTCATGCAGAAGACAGGAAACAACCACCAGGGGGATTTTGTGATGCAACAGAGGCACAGGCTATTTAAATATTTGAGCAGTTTCCTCCTGAGACCTAAAGTTGGGAAACACCTGTTTCCATCTCCAAGTGTTTGCAGGCTCTGTGTGGTCACTCCTAGATCATAATGGGCAGGTGAGGCTAGTCAGGAGGGAAGGGAGTGAGCCAAAAGCAACTTTTTCCCGTACTAAAGTATCTTACCCTGCAGTCAGCTAGCAACTGATGAAGGGATGCTTTTGGAAGCAGTGAGGAGAATGGATTGGAGGGAGATGGCCTGGGAGGTAGGGAGGTCTGCATGTGTTGAAGCAAAAGATGAAAAGATCACTGGTAACCATGATAGAGAAGATATGGATTCAGAAATAGTTCAGGGGTAAAATTGGTGGCAACTGATTGTCTCTTGGATGTAAGTGGTGAGGGAGAGGTCAGTAATTTAGCAGGAAGCACAGAGTCATGGTCTCAAATAACTTCAATGAGAATTTAGTATCGCATGAAGAAAAGAAAAGGCTGATTACTCAAGTATATTTCTGCATTACCCTTTTGGCATTTCAGTTTGGCAGCTAGCTGGAAAACCGACTTTGAATTTCCATGGCCTGTTGTTTAAGGACGAATCTAGGCAACAGGTCCATCGAGACCACAAAGTATGCTTAGGAAATTTGGTGTGTGCTTGACAGCTTCTCTTTTGCCCCCCACTTTGCCTTTTTTCCTTTTGGGGGAACGGGGCCGGGATTTAGCTTATGTAAAGCAGAGATGGACCATCAGGGAATCTAGTTTCAGATGCTCATGAGAGAACAATCCAGTGCCAAGTCTGTTACAAATATGGTATTTCCCCATGTATAAGACGCACCCCTTTTAAAAAAATTAGGGGTCTAAAAACTGGGTGCATCTTATACAGTGGTTGTAGATTTTTTTACTTGCATTTCCCGCTTTTTTCGTGCTTGTTTTTGGGCTCATACAACCACTGTATAAGACGCACCCAATTTTTAGACCTCAAATTTTTCGAAAAAGGGTGCGTCTAATACATGGGGAAATAAGGTACTTCCAGACTCCACATTGTGATGTGATGTATGCAGACCACAAACATGTCAGTCTTGGATCTAATCCTAAGCACACTGGAGGTGAGGTGATCTTTTCATGTTCTATATTCCAAGAAGAGATTTGGCCCAAATATTAAAAACAACAACAACAAAACCCAGCCTGGTTCAGAGATGGAGATGCATATGACTTTAAAGAGGGGACACAACTGATTATAAACCATTCCAATAGAGAACACAGAGGCTGTATAATACCCACTTTTGAGCACAGCACGTACTGACTGGAACATGGGAACTTAATAAATGATTTTGAATATACGAATAGATGGAACGTGACCTAATTAGGGCCAGGGAAGAGAAATCTTAATTTTGGAGTGAACAATTAAGCCTTTTGCAAAGCAAAAGGAAAGCCCCAACATAAGATCCCAAAGTAAAATGAAGTATGCCATCTGGCAGAGTTAGGAGAGGAAGAGACGCCCCACCCGGAGCAGACGATGGTCTCTCTGCTGGGACAACAGTAACAAGGGCTTTCCCACATGCTGGAAAGCAGGAGGCAGACGTGCTGTACCAGAAAGCCAGGGAGTCATCCTGTGTCCCCCCTCTAGGTTGAGATGGGGCCTTGCTGATGCTGAGTTTGCTTCCAGGACCAAGAGAGAACACATTTTGTAAGAATCTTTCAGATACCTGGGTTGGATGGCCAGTGTACATTCTTCAGGAATTGTTAAATAGGGCAGGAAATACAGAGCAAGAATTAAACTTCACATTCAGCAAGGGCAAACATTTTATCCCACAGTTTCACCAGCAGCTGCGTGACTCCCATTAAGGGGAAGCCAAGGGAAGAGATCAAAGATATGCTTCATTTGCTCTGATCTGGGTGGTCACCCTGCTTTTTACACAATTATGTACTTTTTGCTAATTAAAGCAGGAATTTAAAACTTTGTGTGTAGGATTGCTTCCTGTAACTCACCTGACATACAACTGGAACAATGATGGGTTGTGAAATGTTTGGTTAGTGTCAGAAGTGGGATTCAGGAGCTGAATGACCATCAGTGTTTGATTTTGGAAATGGTGTCAGGAAACCAAGGGATGAAACAGGGAGCTAAACAAGTGTGGGAGGAAATCAGACAACCTATGGTGCGAGATCATTAGGTCATCAAGGAAGATGTTTTGGGGGGAGAGCTGAATTGCTGAATCAGTGGAATTCACTCACTGTACCTTTATCTTCAATTTAACTGGACTTGTAGATAACTAGATAGGGATGAGTTAGTGGCAAGGTAGCCTGATGTATATTTTCCTAGTCTCTCCTGTGCTAAGCAAAAATAAAATGATTGCACGATCCCCTTATAAAAAAACTAATGGGATGAGGAGGTTCTGAGGAGTCCCTATAGCTCTGCTTGGACTAGCAATCAATAAATTTCTGCCAGAAATTATTTATTTGACAGGGAAAACGAGAACAAAGATAAGCTCTACTCTCCTTGTCAAAGTAGTTAAAAACAAGGGAGAGAGATTAGAAAAGCATTACTTTTAATTGTACCTCCATTTTAATATGTGTGTGTAAATCTTGTTTTTATATAGAAGCCTCAAAAGGGAAATAGGAGCTTGAAACTCCATGACTTTGAAGCACGATGATTTCATTACATTTTCACTGGGCAGGGCTTCAGATTCATCTGAACTTGAAAAAAAGTTTTTTTCTAAATGAACAATTACAAATACTTAAATGAAGAATGAAATTTCAACTGGTAAAAGTGTAACATCTTCTGGGTCTCAGACATTATTTTAGGAGAAGGTGACCTTGGAGCCAATTGAGATACAGAGAGAGGCTGGGAAGATGCCTTGCATCTCCAAAGCTGTAAATCTTTGGAAGCACAATGTTACCCATTTTGATTGTTTTAGAAATTAGACTTTAGGGCACAGCCTCAGCGTGGGAGGGTAATTGAACCCTTCTCTCATTATTTGGTAAAATAATAAAAGGTGAGGCAATGCTGTAGGTGATATACTGTTGTACAAGGTGGTGGGGTGTTAAAAGTGGAGTATTTAGGAAAGAAAAATGTTATTGGATTGGCAGAGAAAAGGTGTAAGAGTTAGTAGGCAAAATCCTGGATATAAAACTAAATTAGCACAGGTCAGGAAAGAAATGAGACTGCAGGATCAGTGTAATGCACGGTAAAGAACTCGGAGCTCTGGTCCTCATCAGAAACAAGCCGAAGTTTGCTCACGCAGCCTGCAGTGAAGGATCTGGACGGGGCACAGGTCATGGACGTGATAATAACATGGCCCAGGATGCAAGGGCACACAGTTTGAAGCCAATAATGATTCTGAAGCAATTTCCTAGGAACTACACACAGGAGCCATCCTGCAGTATATTATATATGATGTAAAATAGACCATGGAGAACATTGTGATCATGGTCCTTGGACTTTATAAACTAGAGTATTTAATAGAAGAACAGAGGGTGGACTGTGGAGAAATGGGCTTTCTGAAAAGCTGGAAAGCTGGGGACAGAAATTTTATTAAGGAACGTCTGTGCACTGACTGTTTTCTTAACCCAGATGAAGAGGTGGTTTTGCAGATGCTGACTCTGGTTTCAGAGCCAGGAAAGCTCTAGTCTCCTTTTAATTAACATAAATGTATGCACATACCCCACATTTCTGAAAATGTATACATAGTACATCATGTATGTACTATATTGTCTTCTTGGGTATGTGTGTGTGTGTGTGTGTGTGTGTGTGTGTGTATAACTTCTTTCTGGCATGGTTGACATAACTCCTGAATCCCTAAATAAATGAGGATAAATAAGGACAGTAAAGTATTGAGATTTAAACTTTCCATTGAAGTACTATCTTGCATTGATCGTGTCACAGGGCAGTTGACAGCCCCTGTCAAGTTCTTTGGAAACCAAGGAAAACCATGAAGAGAAACTGTTCCTGGTCCCACTTTGCTTCCATAAAGTTCTGAATCCTTGATTAATTAAATTGAGAAGCTAGTCTTGCCCTATTGTGTCAGTTTTGTGTGTGCACGTTACGTGTGTGTTTATCTTCCTGCTAATGCCTAACCTACTTGGAATACTGCACACATTCTAGGTCGCTCTGTCTTGGATATGAGGAGGGAACAGCAGGTCTTTAACCTGCTCTTCTTCCTATTATCACATCGAGTCCCACCAAGAGACCCCTAAGATTATTGTCTGGTTTGCAGTGGAAGCAAAATGAAAGCCAGAATGGCGGGCCTAGCACCAATCCTAGAAGGACCTGATGAACCAGTTCTCCTGTATCGGTTTTCTCCTTCATTACTATGACCGAGCTCTCCTGACCTTGGACCAAGTCTCCACCTTGGAATGACTCCAACTCCAAGGAGAATTTCTTAGACATTCAAGTGCAAAGAGTCTCTTACCAGATGCCAAAAGATCATTGATGAGCACAAGGAACTTTTCATCAGCCACTTGGGCATCAGTCATGAGAAACACCGTGCTGACGTTCTTTATCCCGGCTTTCAGGCACACGCCGGCCAGGTCCACCTGCCACAACAATCAGCACCAGAGAGCTCTGAGAAGGAGGTCTTCTCAAAAGAGATCCCCACCCACCCTCTAGGAATGGGGTACTTTCTTGTCTACTTTCATGGGAAATAAAACAAAATGGCAGTGGGAGGTAGGGAGGAGTTCTATCTTGCACTGACAGGAAAACATACCTTATCCCCAGGCCTCGATCCTAACAGAGGTGGGTAAAATTAAACAGTCACAATCTTTAGTTCATACAACCACTGTGCCTCCTGCACCAGCTTCTGGAGCTGCTGCTTTGTGCAAAGAAGTAACAGCTTTCCAAAGGATGGAGATGGTCCCCTGTTCATCTGTGTACTCATATCACCATAGAAGTGCCTGACCTGCCCCAGACGGCAAGAGGTTGCTCTTGGTCTTGACAGAAGGGTCGTGTACTTGGGGCTACTGGCCTGGGGAGGGGTGTGTGTGTGAATATATTTTATGCTAGCAGTGTCTTGTGTTCTTATGACTAGTTCCAGCAAAAGAACTTGTGTTGGAAAAATATATATTGGGGAACACACACACACACACACACACACACCCATTCAAAACTGCAGATAGATAAAGTTTTGAGCTAGGATGCCAAGCCCTGAGTTCTCTAGCCAACCTTGGTTCGTTTGCTGTATCCCTCTCACAAAGTTCAGCTTTCAGTCTCTAATATTGCTCTTCTCTCTTTTGCACTACTCAGGACTCATTCTCTGAATAGCCTCATACACTTCCTTATAGCAGAGCTTCTTTTGTGTCCAAATAAATTCCCCTTTAAAGTTAATCAGCTTCCTTTTGGATAGATGGTTCTCAGCCTTACACATTTACAGAATTTCCAAAGACAATGTTTCTCAACTCGTGTTAGGACCATCTGGGGGATGCTGTTAAAGTCCTGATGCCCAGGCCACTCCCCAGACTAGTTAAGTCAGAATTGCGGGGTGGGGATTGGGGGGCATCAGCACTATTTGGAGGGGATTCCAGTATGTAGTCAAGGCTGAGAACCACAGTCTTAGGACATCTTGTAAATGCACAGTTCTCATATGCACTACCTTGTCTTCTCTTTTTGGAAGAGCTAAAGATTGACCCAGTGTGAAGCTGGTGTACGACTTTCGATTCAGCTATTCACTGAGAGATTGAGCTGCAGTTTCAGAGTAGCCCTGAGCATCTCTGGCTGAGAGATTATGAAGGCAGGTGGGTGGGTCTGGCTTAGTGCTGGTTAGAGTTCTCCCAGGGACAGCAAGATCTGCATCCTGATGGAAAGCACATCACGACTCCCTACAGGGCCTCTAGTGTGGCCATGGATAAAAGGGAGGGGGCTGGACAAAGTGGCCTTTGAAAGCTGTATACAATGCTTTGCTCCACTTTCCGGAGCAGGCATCGTAGTTCCTAAATGCCTGATCTCTGAAACCAGGAAATGTCACTGAAGGTTCCAGTGGCTGGTGGTTACTGAACTCATCTTTTTAAATACGAATTTCTTATAAAACTTGGACAAGCTGTCAGGATTCTTCCTAACTCTCCTAGAGCTGCTAAAGAGCTGTGTGCTGAATTTGCAGTAAAGGTGTTCTGATCTGGATGAGGGCTGAGGCTCCACAGTTGAAACTAAAGCAGCTGAAGTCGCACAGACGCAGACCTTGGGAGGGATGGTGTTACCAGGCTGAGGCTGATGAGAAAGGAGCCCCTCAGGTCACCAGCTTGGAGTCTGAGAACTGGATGAACAATTAAGTGGAGGTTCTGGGCAAGGGAACTGAAGAGCTGATGAAGGGTGACAAGGAGTTGTGGGTAGTTGAAGGGAGGCCGCGTCTCCTCCCCACAGCTGCCGGGCCTGCTTACCTTGAAGTCTGGGATCTGGTAGCCTTTCCGCAGCGTGATCTGGAATACATCCATGGAGCTGATGAAAGCTGCAAGCCTTGTCAGACTCTGCTTGCCACTCCCACCTACACCAACCAGCAGTGCATTTCCCCGCGGGGACTCCAAGATACGATTGATGTGGCAGCTAAAAAGAAGAAAGCAGAGGCACATGGCTTTGGCCAGACTTCCTGTGAGGAGCATGAACAATGAGTAAGAACTGGAATGCTCCTTGGAGGCTCATCATGGGCTCAGCTGTGGGAAACTTGAATTAAATTGTCCCCAAACCTGGCTTTACCTTCTCGCCCACGTGAATTAAAATCACCACTGCTTTGCTGTAAGCCAAAGCCTCTGGTGAACTAGTGGCAGTGGAAAAAGTGCTCAGGACAGCCAGGCAGGATTGGAGGGGGCGTGGGGTGGTGAGGGGAGGGGACCAGGGCTTCCCCTCGGCTCCTCCCAGCCATACCTGACTCGGCTACAGCTTCCCACTTCACTTTGCCTCTCCTATCTGTACTTTTAGGCAAGAGGAGGGAGCAGGAAAGAAAGAAAAGTAGAAAGCATCCAATTAGGAAGAAAATAATCGGGCCGGCTGAGTGGCGTGTTGGTTAAGAGTTGGCTTGGGACGCCAGCTCTGAGCAGCAGGGCCCCAGTTCGGATCCCACATTAGGGCCAGTGACGCTGCGCTCTCTACAGCTAAGATGGTGAACAACAGCTCGACCTGGAGCTGGGCTGCTGTGAGTCACCGGCGATGGCATAGGCTGCAGTGGGGCCGGCCGGCAGCTGGCATGTGCTTTCGTGAGCTGCTGTGAACTGCCGTGAGCCGCCGTGAGCAGCTGTGAGTGGCCGTCCAATGGCAGGCAAGCGACTGCCTCATCTGGGAAGAGTGCAATGATAATACCAACATGGGCCAGTGAAGCGATGTCCTCCACAACTAGACTGAAGAACAAAAGGACAGCAACTTGTCTGTTCCCCTTCCCCGATTCCCCAACGCTGTTCCCCTCCCCCAATTCCCCAATAAAATCTTAAAAAAAAAAAAAAAAGAAAATCAAGAGATGCCTGGAGAACAAGCAGGAACAGAACAGTTTGTTCCTCTTAGGAGAGAAGGAACATAATTAAAGTCATCAGAATAACAGAGACCCGACACAGCTCTTATCTCTCCCTATTTTATCCTTCCTGCATGTTTATGTCCTGTAATAGATATTTGTGGATTGTTAGTGTCAACCTATAAGACACTGGATCGTTCCCTTTGGAACTGTACATACCATGTTCAGTGCCCATATTCTTACTCCCAGGCCCTGTGCTTAAATCATGCACTCCAGGCGAACCCTCTCTACCTGCCCCATCTTCAAATGCTACTTACTCTTCCATCAAGCTGTTCACAGCCTCTCATCCACGATATACCACCAATCGTTTCTTTTGTGTACCAGGTCTGACAATTACATTCACGAACTTGTCGCAATGATGTTGCTAACCTTTTTTGATATCAGAGGGGTCATTCATTATGAATTTGTACCAACTGGACAAACAGTTAACCAAGTGTATGATATGGAAGTGCTCAAAAGGCTCCGTGAAAAAGGTAGATGAAAACAACCTGAAGTTTTCACCATGGCTCTTGCATCACGACAATGCACCAGCTCACATGGCACTCTCTGTGAGGGAGTTTTTAGACAGTAAACAAATAACTGTATTGGAACACCCTCCCTACTCACCTGATCTGGCCCCCAATGACTTCTTTCTTTATGGGAAGATAAAAAAAATATTGAAAGGAAGACATTTTGATGACATTCAGGACATCAAGTGTAATACGACGACAGCCCTCATGGCCATTCCAGAAAAAGAATTCCAAAATTGCTTTGAAGGATGGACTAGGCACTGGTATAGGTGCATAGCTTCCCAAGGTAAGTACTTTGAAGATGACCATAGCAATATTCTGCAATAAAGTATGTAGCACTTTTTCTAGGATGAGTTCACGAACTTAATTGTCAGACCTCATATATACCTTATGTAAGGTACGTACAATCTTTATAATAACTCCTATTCCCTTATCTTTTCTCATCTTAAAAACAATGACTATTCATTGCACAAAACTGCATAAAATACAGAAAAAAAACCAATATACTACCTAGCAATAAACCCTATTGATATTAATTATATGTCCTTCTGAACTTTTTTCTATTGTATGTTTATAAGTATATATTTATGTGTACATACAGTTATTACATCTGAAAACTCAATATATTTCTATCCTGTATATTTTCAAAATTGGGTTCACATCATATACTAAACATAATGTTTTGAAATCATTTTTTTGATTTGGCAGTATATGTGATTATTTCCCTATGCCACTGAGTAATCTGCTAAACCTTGCTTTTAATGATGGAATGATACTCCATTATATAGAATAAGTTCCTTATCTGCAATAGCCTACTGTTAGATATTTAGGTTGTTTCTAGCATTTTCCAATGATAAGTAATGCTATATAAATATTTTTAGTTTATATCTCTAATTATGTCCAGAGGATAAGTTCCTAGAAGTAAAACTGCTGAGTCTAAGGTAATTTTATGGCTTTTGATACATACTAAAAGACTGCCTCCCCCACCAGAATGGTAGCACCAATTTGTACTCTTTGTAGGTAGAATTGATCCACATATAACACAGTGATCAAGCTACTGTGTGGAAATGGATAAGATAAGGAGGAAGAGACAACAGGTGATGGTGACCTTGTATTCGAAAGAATGTGCAGAACAAGAATTCAGGTAAAGTCCAATCAAACAGAGCAGAGGATGTGTCTGAGATTGAATTGTACAAGCTCCAGTCCCGTGTTCCTGACTTGTGTTAATATTATAACAAGACATTCCCTATTCAAGTTAAGTAATGGTAATTAGGGGTAGAGCAATTAGCATCTACCTTACCCAAATTTGAAGGAAGGGCTGGGGGTAAGTTTTGGTGGGTGGGGTTTGATGTGTCAACAAAATATGAGCATGTATGAGGCTGAATGGCTCATGTCAAGCTTCTGTGGTTTGAATTTTCTTATTACTACAAAGTTCTTGCATATACTGATGACTTGGTCATAATTAGCATGAATGAACTAAATGTCCATGGGTCCTTATGGCCTCATCTCTCCTATGGGATGCGTTTGCTATTTGAAAGGAAACCCTAGCAGAAATGTGAGTGAGTAGATAGGAGTGTCTTGCCCCCACTTTTGTTGACACTGGGTCTTATATATTTTTTAAATCTTTGCCAATGTAATGCTTGAAAATATTATGGTTTTAATTTTTTATTTCTTTGATTTCTAGGGAATTGAACATTTTTCTTATTAACCATTATATATTTTTCCTTTTGTGAATTTTCTTTTCATGTCCATTGCCCACTTTTCAACTGAAGGGTTCTTCTAAATTTTTAAGACCCCTCTATGTATGTCTCAAAATATCCCCCCAATTTGTCACTTTTATCATTTAGTTTTAATGTTTTAAATGTACAGAAATTTTTAGCTTCTTGGACTTAAATTTTTTTGTGTTTTTTTGTTTTGTTTTGTTAGCTGAGCCATCCTGCTACCTGTTGGCAGCTCAGCAGCTGCTCAGCTTGGGCCGGGACTCGAACTGCTGTTGCTCAGAGCTCAAACTCTTGAGCTAGCTCTTAACCAACTGAGCCACTCGGCCGGCCCTTAAAATTTTATATCACTAAATTTATGTAGTTAAAATGTATTCTCCTAAATATTTAGGAATTGTTTATTGAGCTACATTTAGTTCTTTTATGATTTTATATTTTCATTTTATAATTATTTTATTGTGATACTAGTACTCTTGTCTTGTATCAGAGAGATTTACACTTCTCTTGCTCCCTTATTAAACCACAGTTTCTAAATATTGGAAGAGTGTATATACGCATCATGAATTCTCTCCAGTGCTACCCCACTGAAGGTATTCCATATATTTATGTTAAACAGAACAACACATACCTAATATTCAGGGGTGATGTGTGCACATAATCATTCAATATGCTAGGTGCAAGGAATCACCTGCTTTGTGTCTACATGAGATGGTGCCTGACTACAATGATAAAAGAAGAAACTATGGTGCTAAGATATCCAGGTCCTCTCTTCTGATTCAAAAAGGAGGGGACAGGAATGGATTAATGGAGGAGGAGGAGGAGGAGGAAAAAGAAGAAGAGCACGAGAAGTCCAACTAGGTTCTCTGGGCTGCCCAACACCCAGCTGTATTCTGGAAGGCCTGAACTCAGCTTAGCATGGTCCATGCTATTCAGTATCAAAATGGAAAATGCATCATTAGTGATGAAGTTTCCAGAGAAGAATGGTTAAGTCTGCAACTGTCAGCATTAGACTCCAGCTGGGGATTCATTAACAACCTCTGACGAGGGCAAAGGACTCTGAATTTAAATTACAGAATTTAAAAAGAAGATCAATATTCTAAAGGGCTGCTGGGCCAGAAAATGAAGGCAGTCTAAGTTAATTCATTACTGAATTTCTGAGAGATTAAAACAAAAGCTGGAGATGTAACACAGCACAGCTGGAGGAAGCTGGCTTATTGAAGACTAAACACACACACACACACACACACACACACACCCTAGAGAACTGATAAGATACAAAAGAAGGGGCAAAAGACAGGTACATCTGAAGTTCCTTTTTTTCTAAGAAAAAACAGAGGAGGCAGAAAAACATATGTGGGAGTGGAAAAACAAACAAACAAAAAACAAAGAAAAAGAGAGATTCAGATGATGCCAAAAGCAGGGGGAAAATTCCAGTGTAAAGCTGTAAGAAAAAGCAGAACAAGAATGTACGAAATCGTGGAGGAAGTCAGAGCCAAATGGTACTATTAAGGGAAGAAAACAATAGAACCAAGAAAAAGTCTAACATTTATGGCCTGCTTAAGAAGTGCAAAGCCCTTCACACAGAGAGCAACACCCTACCACATAGCCATTCTTGTTATCTTTGCTTTCCAGAGGGGCAAGCAGACACTTGAGGAAGTTAGGCATCCTTTGCAAAGCACCACAGCCAATTAGTGGCAGAACTGGGTCTGGCTCTGTCTCCAGAACCTGTGCCCATAACCACTCCACAGCACTCCATTACTGGGTTCGGAGTAAGAGCAGCAAAGTTTGGGAAAGGTGTAGGGGAAATCAAGCAAAAGAAAACATGAAGAATCAAGAGGTGGGAACCAACAGTCAGATAACACAGTCAAGATGAGCACAGGCCTTACTGCACAGATAAACACAGGCCCTTGCCTTGGCCCCTCGGCCAACCCCGTGGGTTCAAGAAAGCGCATACACACACTGCCCTCCTCTGCCCTGCTGTATTCCCACCTTAAACCTCCTTGGGTCCAGGTGGGACCTTCTTGGAGTGAGCCCAAACCCCTCTGCCTTGGGCACTGTGTGCAGTAATGCGAGGCCATGGAATTTTCTGAAATGTTGAGGTTACCTGTGTTTCTCACTGTATTACTTGGTGTTCTGTTTTCAGGTATACGAGGGGGGGTGCTTCTGCTCTATCTGGCTGGTGGAGGCAGCAAAGGGGGTTGAGGAGCCTCAGGGAAGGGAGGGAAGAGCAGTGAAAGGATGAAGGCCCGGGACACTGATATTGTTAAATTATACATCCAATTACACTTCATTCTTCAGAATTGCCTCCTCACGGCAGTTTATAATTCCCATTATTTTTCCATTGCTAACGCAGCTTCACAGTTTGTTTAGAAGTCTCAGGAGAAAAGCCAGTTTTCATAGGGTTATTATTTTTTTCCTAAAAACAATATTAGTCATTTAATCACCCATGTTGGAAACCACATTGATAAGATCACTTGCATTTGTCCCAAATTTAATTGACTCGTAAAAGATAAAAATCTGACTCAATTCAAAGACTATGACGCAGGTTCAAGTAGCTCTTAAAGAGGAGGGAAAATACTCACTGAATTTTCGACCAGATCAGTGAACAGACATTTTAAAATCCTTACTGACTGACCACTTACTATGTACCAGGCACTGTCCAAGGTACTGGGGATTCAGAGGTGAGTGAGACACAGTCTGTGTGCTCAGGGAGTTTACACTGGATTAAGGGGAGACAAAAAGCACATGAAGAAGCATCAGAGTGCGATGGTTGAGAGCAAACACTCTGGAGCCAGACTGCATGAGTGCAAGCTTCGCTTACCTGTCTCTGGAGCGTGTGATATTAGACCTTACTTTTTTCAGGGTTTTTGTGAAGACTAAATGACTCGATGTATGCAAAGCACAGGCAGCAGGCCCTAGGGACTTCTACGTGAAGGATAGCTCCTACATGGCACATCAAATGCTGTCTTCTCAGGGAGACCTGCCTGACCACCTTATTTAAAATCACAACCACCCTCAGCACTTTCTATACTCATTCCGTCTGTGTTTCTCTACATCATTTATTCCCACAGGACACACTAAGGATTTTTATTGAGTACCTGTTGTTCCAGACACTGTCCTAGGTATTGGAAATTGAGCAGTGAATAAAACAAAGATCCCTGAACTCATACTAAGACTGTCGCATCAATAAATATGTATTGGATGGATGGATGGATGGATGGATGTAAACAAACAAACAGAATGGTTAGTCATGACAAATGCAGCAGGACAGTCAAGTAATATAAGGGAATGACCCAGCAGTGACAACTGAATTTAGCTAGAAGTAGGCCTGTGGTGACATTGATAAGAGCTTCTTTTAGAGGTAATAAGTAGATTGAGGGAGGATGAAAAATGAGAAGGCATGACAAGTGTACCCTTCTGTGGTTTGGTTGTGAATAGAAACAGAGAAATGGGGCAGTAGATGGAAAGGGATATAAGAATCAAGAATAGCTTATTTATGACAACATGGCATGTTTCTATGTTAATGCCTATGATCCAGAAATTAATGAATTAATGATGATGGGGTAAGAAGGAAGGGGGGAGAGGGAAAGGGAGAGGAAGAGGGAGAGGGGAGAGGGGAGGGGAGGGGAGGGGAGGGGAGCGGGGGAGAGGAGAGGAGCGATAACTGCAGGAAGGAGTAGAGTCACTGAGAAGGTGAGAGGAGAGAAGCGCCAGAGCACACATGGAGGAACCGGCCTTAGGTACGCACAGTAACGGCAGGCAAGTCCGTATTTGTGTGGGGGACGCAGGTGGAATACAGATAGGCTGTTAGATTGAATGACAGGGAGATGAGATAATTCTCTTCTGGTTTCTTTCATGATCATGGTGAAATAAGAGATGTGCTCATCAACTGTGAATAAAAAGAAACTTGAGAAGAGAAGAAAAATGTGTGATGTAGGCATCACAGGATGGGGAAGCCAGTGACAGTAGTAAAGCAGAATTTCTAGCAAAGCTGAGGGCCCATTTGATGTTTGTGGCTGAAAACCTGAAGCAAACCAAGTCAACACGGTGGGGGATTTTTCTTCAGTAATCTTCAGATGCTTAGGGACAGGCATGGAATAAGAAGACACTGGGATTTAACTACAGTGGGGTTTAGCCACCTGGATGCAATGACAGGAAAGTTAGGGGAGCTTGCACTGGGATGATGGAGGCTGAGGAGAGTGAGACATGGTAGACGAAGGGATCAAGGAGTTTGAGAAAGTAGTTGACTCCATGAATGAAGTCTTGATGAAGTTTCAGAATAGCTGGAATAAAAACTAGAGCAGTTGCGTAGAAGGGTAGGAGGTGCAAGTAAAAGAAGTGAGATTTTTGAAATTGAGATTTTGGAGGTGGGCTCGTTATTGATGACAGAAGTTCCAGGATAGGAACATGTGAGTGAGTGGCTGAGGTGGGATGGATGAAAAGATCACTGGAGCTCAGGAGGCCAGGGAACAGGTAGACGAGGTGTTACCCAGATGCCGGCAATGAAGAAAGGTATGACTGAGGAGAGAAGGATGGTCTCAGTACCAAGGTCACTGGCAAATGATGGGGGGTAACTGGCTGCCAGTGGATGACAGTAACAAGGAAAGGTAATGAGTATGAAAGTCTAGCTACCTGTGCATCAAAAAAACCCTGGAGTTTGTGAAGGATAAAAGGAGAAATGGTTTAAATATGCCGTTGGGGTGAGGTGGGGGCAAGGATGGTACTTACTTCTCTCTAGGCCCTGGGGTACGTAGAACGGGGAAGAAAAAACAGCTTTCTTCAACTCAGGGGCCAGTTAGGCTTCAGTTAGAAATTATCAATGAAGGGGGAGTGCTGAGAAGCTGAAGATGAGTAGATTTTGCTGCTGGAGACAGTGAGTACCAGGGAAAAGGGTGGAGGAATCTGGGCAGCAGGGAGGGGTGGTAGATGGGACTGAGTGCGGGATGCAAAGAGCTGTATGAGGATAGCACTGGTGTGAGCATAAATTATCTGGGGCCCTCAGCTTTGCTAGAAATCCTGCTTCACTACCGTCTCTGGCTTCCCCATCCTGTGATGCCTACATCACACATTTTTCTTCTCTTCTCAAGTTTCTTTTTATTCACAGTTGATGAGCACCTGGGTGGGGACGCAGGTCCTGAGCCGTCTGGTGCCCCTCTTGTGATCTCAAAATTTCCCTCGGTGTCACTGTGATCATGCCCAGGGATTGCAAATGACAGACAAGACAATAAGTCCTCTTCTGCCTGAGTTCGGCACTATGGTGCCCCTGAAGGCCAGTGGCAGAAGCAGCCGCTGCTGCTCTTCCGGCCGCCATCTTGACCTCTATAGAAGAAGTACCAGCTGCTTTCCTGCTTGTGTCAACGTGTCCTTAAATGCCCAGACGAGACCCATGACATTGGGAAGAGGAGGCAGCCAAAGAAAGGAAACAGAGAAGCACACTTACACATGGCGTATGGCGTCCTCAAAGAGAACTAAGTCCATCACGGTATTGACTTCATTGTGGTTCTCCAGGGCTTCCACCAGAGTCTGAGTCAGAAGTTCCCATGATTGTACAGGCATGTACTTGGGTTCACCAATGCCGTTTGCAAAGTGGCAATACAAGTTCAGGCTTTGGCTCTGCTCCCCAGTCTCTTCAATATCCTGGTAACGAGACATAGGGACAAGGGCCCTCCTTATAGACAATCAATTCTGGTTCCACACAGAGTAGGGACACCTGATTTGCCTTTTCTCTGTGCACACTCCCCCAAAATTAAATATCAGTGCTGAGTCCAATTGCTTCCTTCCTCTTGAGAAGCCCTCGAAAGTGGATGCTCATCAGCTCCATGAAGTCACGGATGACGTTTGTCATTCCTTTCGGGCTGAGGACGGGAAATGGAAGGTGGGAGGTACCCTTCTCACACGCACAAGAAGAGCCCACATCTCAGACAAGAGCAGAGGCGTAGATGGCACCACAGGGGTGGATTTCCCTAAGCAGGGGCTCTTTCACCAGTGTCGGGCGAAGGAGATCCAATGGCCTCATCTCCCCATTACCCGTTCCAACATGTCTTGTTCCCCACACTACAGCACTGTCATAAGACATCCTTTTCTGTTTCCTGTGATGTTTCACACTATAGGATGCCAGCCTCCGCTTCATAAGCTCAGCACAGAGGCTTTGTTTTTGAAGAATGTGCCGCCAGCCATCCTTAGGTGACTGGCTTGTGTATAAGGACACTGATAATCTTAATGCATCTGCAGTAGAACTCCCTACTTATAAAACTTTCATAAGGATTTGGGCTTATTATGTGTCAACTCTCATCCCCAGGATGAACCTTACCGTGTTTAATAAATACCTAATGCAATTCAATTAACTTAAAAAATATGGAGGTTATGTCTCTTCACCACCAATGTATTCTGTAAGAATTGAAGATTCACCTATATTTTTTTAATTTAGAAAGGAACTACTTACTTATTAAAATCCAAATACCTGAGATTTCAAGAGTAAGAAGAGCTATAGAGGAAGTAAGTCCAAGAAAGAATCAGTCTTCTAAAACATAAGTAAAAATGTATACCAGCACGAGCAATTGTCCCCACCTGTCTCCTGAAGTTCAGACTAGGAGATCCAGCACCAGCATGCTGATCACCAGCAGAGGAATGGCCCAGGGCATAAGGGCACTTGCAGGGTTAATCTTTTAAGCCCATGGGACAGGATTCATTAAATCAAATGGAGGAAGGTGAGGATGACAATAGTATCTATACAGAAACCAGGACTGCTGTCTGGTTACAAGGAGGAAGAAATAGTAAGAGTTAAATATCAATGAGTTATTATATTTTGAAGGCAGTTTCAGGGCCATAGAAAATCCTCAAAATTCTGGCTTTGCCAGACAGTCACAATAAATGTCCAGACATTTGGGTAAGATTTAATGTAATGCGGGGGAGCCATTCTTGCCAGCTGAGGAAAACATGTGGGAAAGCGATGTGGAAGTACATTTACCCAGTTTGAAAATGAGCTAATGTACTGGGAATCGGTCCTGATGGCAGTCCATTTACACTAACGATCTAGCAGAGGAACAACTGAAGAACAGGCCTGAAAAGCCTGGTCAACAAAGACTCCTTGATGAATAAAATAAGTTTCCAATTTTATGATCAGAATCAGGCTGTGTAGAAGGGAGAGAGAAAACCAACCCACACAGTGAATCAAAGCCTTCTTAATAGTGACACCATATTACACAAGGGCCACAAACCAGAAAACTTTAAGCTTTTAATGGTAGAAACAGGACTGTATTACTTCCTTGGAGGAAATTTGGCAAATTTTCCTTAATAACAATACCAAGATTTGGTGCAGTCGAAGGCGTTTCAGACTAGCATTTCAAATATTGTTGGGGAAGGATAATGGCAATATTAATTATATCTGGGCCTATGATCAAAAGGATGTGTTTTTAGTATACAGACCCACATAGGAACCTCTATTTCAAAGACTGAGTGTTGTAATACCAAAGTGCTAACTTAGACCAATTTAAGAAGACAGTTAAGGCTCATTTGCAGAGCTAACAATGAATACATAAATTGGCAAGTTCTACAATGTTCAGAGAGGAGTATCTAAGATGTGAGAGTGCTGAACATCAGGCCATCTAAAAATGATGGGATAAACAGAAGAATTCAGGGTGCTTGGACTCGTAAAGAGCAGACTTAAAGAAGTTAGTTAAAATTCTGTCCAAACAGTCAAAAGACTGTCATATAGGTTGGGTGGACTGTAAATATCTTCAGAGATAGACCCAGGATCTTCTCAGGAAAAAATACGGAGTTGAACCTAACAAGGTGAGCATAGAGACAACATGGTACCTTTAAATACAACATCTTATTATTTCTAAGTTCAAGACAGGGCAGACAAGCAATATGTGTGGAAAACATGGAGCTTCAGTCAACAGAAGGCTCAGTGCTAGTTGTGGGGTAATTCTGACACTAAGAAATATAATGTGACCTTAGGCTGTGTTAATGTATCAGTGCTTCCCAAAGCATATCCTATGGGCCATTCATTCTGAAAATTATTAATAGGTTTTATAGAGGGAAAAGGGTTGTAGGGTCTACTACATTGGGGAAATGATATAGGATTCAGGGGTATTCGAGATGTTCGGGGTTTTAATGTGTTAAATACATATGAATTTCTAAGAGAGGAATATAATAAGTATTTTCTCAAGAAGTATTTTTTCAACTTGAGAAATCATAGATACCTTCTTTTAAAGGAGTATACTATGGTACAGCTATTTAGCAGAACACATTTGGGGAAACACAGTAACAAAGTTATAGTATATAAGAAGAGGGAAATGATGATCTTGCTTAGCGTCATATCCCAGGGTGGGCTGTGTGATGAAAGTCAGGCACCATGATTTGAGAGGGGAGAACTGATAGGATAGTAGCCAAGATGATGTCAAATTACTCTAGGTTTGAGAACAAGTCATGTCAGACATGGCTAAAAGACAAGAGGCTATTTGGCTTGGAGAAGAGAAGACCAAGGAAGGACAAGACAAATGATCTTAAAATATTGAAGGCTTGTCATATAGATCTAGGATTAGTGCACAGGGAAGTACATTTTAGATCATTATTTGAATAAATTTCCATTCTTTAAAATTGTTCCAAAGGTTCCTAATTTCAAAATTGTTCCAAATTTCCAGTCATTCACAGTTCCAAAGTGGCTGTCTTGGGAAAGATGAGACTGTGCATTTCTAAGGATGTTGGAGCATCAACTGGGACGACCAATCTGGGAAATGCTACTGAGAAGAGTTAGTATAAAAGGAGGGTTTGGATCAGATCATCTCCACAGACCTTCTCAACACTACAATTCCATGATTAATTTGTTCTTGCCCCAGAATTTTTTACCTCAGCAAAACAATGATAGATTTTTCTTTCTTTATCTATTCTCTGATTTTTTTCCAATTTATGGGCTAGACTTTTATCATTTGGGTGATCTGCATAATTATCATTATTTTTCAAATGTAAAAAAAAATCACAGGGCAATACTCACATCAAAAATTTTCTTCACCACTTCTTTCTGGATTTTATCAAAGAGAACAAAGTCCTTTTCTTCCACCATCTTATCCCGATAAACCCGATTTGATTCATGCAGATAGAGCTTTACTAGGTCCTGTGTGGATTTTATACATTCTACTGAGGAGAAGAGAATGCCCTAAAAGGAAAATAGACAAACAAACAAACAAAAAACACATGAATAACAATTTAAAACTATAACAGCTATAATTTGTTGAAGTCAGTTATGTGACAGGTACTGGACTAGATGCTTTGTCAGACAAAGCTCATTTAACCATGATGACCCCCACAAAGTAATTTTTATTGTATCCATTTTGTATAATGTGGAAATTGGGACTCAGAAGGATAGGAAGCATGCCCAATGTCACACAGTAAGTGGTCTTAGTTCAAACCCAAAAGGTAATGAAATCAGGTTTGCCTAACCTTAAAGCCTGGGATTTTGACCACTTATATTCCAAATCACCACAGTGAGGGGAGAGGTGGCTTTTCTGTTGTATTTCAATTCCATAAGTGCCACTTTGAAAACTAGTCTAAGTGACAATTGCTTATATAAAATCAGAACAATAACAAAGGGCTAAAACCAATATAGCTGACCTTTGCAGGTCACCAATCCATTTGTTCATCTCTAGTAGACTCTCCTTCCTATATACCACAGGGATTATTCCAAATATTTGTTATTCTTTTCAAATTTCTCTGTCACATCTGTTACTATTAGCCAATGTCTTAGCTTTCTAATTCAGTTAAAAATGGAGACCACCAAGATTACAGCCCCTCAACAACCTCAACAAGTCCTGTAACTTCAAACTTATTTATTCCTGTGTTTGCCTTCATTGCTTTCTTTCTTCTCTTAGAGGAAAAAGGATCATTTAATTGGTCCTCATTATCAATAGAACATGCTCAGATTCATCAGCATAACATAAAGGTGTGGTCATAATATGACTACCAGTCTCTTTCCTCATGAGGATTCTAATCACCACTTCCCATAAAATCTAGATTTCAGTTTCACAGAACTCAAATTATTTTCTGACCCTGCATACTTTCTGTGACTTCATGCTTTTTTTTTTGCATGCTATGCTCATATTTCAAGATCTAGATCAACTGATATCTCTTTGTTGAAGTTTCCATGACATCTCCCTTATTGTCCAACATCACTCCCTCTGATGTGCCCCATAGAACCCTTTACATACAAATATCTATTATAAGAGAACTATTAGTTTCTAAAATTATTTTTCTTTGTACAGGTTTGCTTCATCCAGGTCATGGTGAGCACCTCAAAGGCAGGGAAATTGAGAGATTTCATTTTGGATGTCGTTTGTTTTAATCACTGTTATTACCGGTACCTAGCATGGTGCCTGGCATACACTAAATTCTCAGTAAATGCTTGTTGAAAGAATGAATGGAATTGAATCCTTCAATTAGTATAACATAGCAAGAACTTCTGTCAAGATTTCTGCTTTTGGTAGTGGCAGAATAGCTGATCACAAACTAACCCATTGAGATCAACTACAAAAGATACAAAAATTATTTTTAAAGCTTTATCTTTTAAGAAGCATTAGAGAGTAACCAAGGCAGTGAGGACTTGAGGGGCTAAGACACTAGAGAGAAGAGAACAGAGAGATGAACCCAAAATTTGGCACCATTTTTTCTCTTCACACATTTGCCAATTTACAAGCAATGGCTTACAGGTTCAGAAACTGAAGACAGTGACAAGTGAGAGGTTAAGACACTGAGCAAAGTTTTCTCATTTCATGGGGTAGGAAGGATGAAAACTGGAGTTCAGGGATTACCAAAAAAAAAAAAAAAAGGTCATAGCTATAAGCCCCAAGGAACCCTGTCAAATTGTTATACACTAGGCATATACGTTAACAAATTATTCAGTCCTCACAAAACTAAAGACCAACTCCAGTCTCCTCAGATCCTGGTGGCTGCTTGCCAGAAGCAGAAGTATGTAATCTCTGAAAGAAAATACCATCATATGAACCCTCAAATTATATGCACATTTTAAGGCTCACAATGTCTGGCAATTGAACAAAAATTACTGGGAATACCAGGAGATATGACCAAACCAAAGAAAAAAACTGACCCACAGAAGATCTAAGTACTGGAATTTTCATACATAAACTTTAACAAAACTACAATTCATATGACCAAGAAATTACATGACAAGGTGAAGAATTTCACCATAGAACTGGAACTTTAGAAAATGAATCAGATAGAAATTCTCAAATTAAAAATTCCTCCTAAATTATAGTTAGTGAAATGAAAACTTATAAAATGGAGTTAAAGAATAGACAAAGCTCAAAACAGAATTGGTGAACAGGAAGAGAGAGTAACACAAAAATATTCAGACTGAAGCACAAACAGAAAAAAAAGAAAAAAAATTAGAAAGAAAAGAACATAAGGGAATATGGGACACATTGCAAGGTCATGTACACATATTGGAATACCAGAAGTAGAGGAGAGAGAAAGACAGAACCAATATTTAAAGAGATACTAGCTGTAACTTCTCTAAAACTGAAAAAAGCCATCAAACCTGATTCAAAAGTGCTACAAACATTAAGCAGAATATAAAAATACCACCTTAAACACAACTTAGGCATAATAGTGAAAATTTTGAAAATCAAAGAGAAAAATTTAAAGGCAGGGAAGTGAAAACAATTATGTATACTCTTAAAGGAACATAAGATGTAGAATTTCTCAATAGAAACAATGAAAACCAGAAAGACAATGCAATGACACCTTCAAAGTGCTGGAAAAAAAAAGAGCTGCAACCTAAATTCTAAATCCCCCTCTAAAATTAATAAATAAATAAATAAATAAATACATTTTTAATGGAATAAAAAACAGAGATTCTTCTCTAGCAGATATAAACTAAAGTATATACTAAAGGAATTCTTAAGGTAAAATGAAAATGATTCTAAATGGAAAAACAGAAATGTAGCAGGAATAAAAATCAGTATAAAGAGTAATATGTGAGTAAATCTAAATAAATGTTGACTTACTAAGACAAAGATATTAGTGCACTATGGATTTTCAACATGCATTTAATTAAATAACTATCATAAAAATTGAAGGGAGGTAAATTGTTCTAAGAGCCTTTCATTGTATGGCAATTGAAAGAAGTACTGATTTATAAAAGAAAAAGGTTAAAAGGATGCATTTGGTAACCACTACATGAATAGTAAAAGGATGTATAGTATGCTAAAAGAGGGGAAAAATAAAAGAATAAACAATATATAATTAGTTTAATAGAATACAGGAAGTTAGAGAAAACAGAATAGGTAGGACATATTAAAAACGAATAATATAAAGTAGATTTAATCCTAAATATATTACTAATATATATGACAACATCAAATATAAATGGACTAAACATTTAAATTATAAGGCAATGATTATCAGACTAGACTTTTTAAAAAATCTAACTGTATGCTGCCTATAGGAGATATATCTTAAATATAAGAATACAAAACACCTGGAAGAAGAAGCTGGGAAACAATACAGCATAAAGATACTAAAAGAATATGGAGTAGTCATACCAATATCATAAAAAGTTGACTTTTAAGCAAAGCCATTTTTAGATATAAAGAAGTGCATTTAATAAGAAAAGGGTCAGTACACTAGGAAGGCTGACATTGATCTTAATAACCATGTCAAGAAGTTAGAAAAGAACAAACTAACCTCAATACTAAAGTAAGTAGCAAGAAACAGATCATAAAGAGCAAATGTTAATAATATAAAAAACAAATCAAATAAAGATGTCTAGTCAATAAAGCAGAAAACTAAATATTGGTAACTTTTCAGTTTCTTTGAAAAGATTAACACAATTACCACCCTACTAAGGCTAATAGAAGATAAAGAGAGAAAACAGAAAAGGCATACATAATCAACATCCGGAATAAGGAAAAGGACATAATGTCAGATACAACAGATATTTAAAAGAGAATAACAGGATATTATATACAGTTTTATGCCAATAAATTAGAAATGACATCAAAGATAGCAGATTAGGTAAATGTTATGCTCGCCTCCTCCCATGACCATATCAAAATTACAACTAAATTATAGAACAACTACCCTTGAAAACCACCTGAAGACTAGCTGAACAGAACTCCTATAACTAAGGATATAAAGAAGCCACGTTGAGATTGGTAGGAGGGGCAAAGACACGGAAGAGTCTGGACCCATACCCACATGTGGTAGTTAAGAAACAGGAGGGATATCTCAGCCATGGAGAGACCCCCTGAGGAGTGAGGGGCCCCAGCCTCTCCAGCCTGGACCATCAGTGCCGGGAAGAGGAGTTCTCATAACATCTGGCTGTGAGAATCAGCAGGGACTCAGTCTGAGTGAGTGGAGAGCTGAGGACTCAGGCATCTTTTTAAAGGGCTTGAACACAGATTCACTCTCTCACAAACACTCACCCTAAGCTCCAGAGAAGGGACAGCAGCTTAAAAAGTGCCAGGGACATGTGGGGAGAAACTGAATTCTCTGGCCTCAGGGTGAGGGCTGGAGGGGCAGCTCTTCAGCTAAAGTGCCTCCAGGTGCCATTGCTCCTTAGTTGAGTCCTTCCCCCACCCAGCTTCTGGCACAGGTGGGCGCCAAGTCTGAGTTTCCATTAACCAGGCTAATGCCACTCTTGTCCCACCCTGGTGATTCTCTGAGACCCTGCCTGGACCAAACCCCATTCAGAGGCTAATCCACACAAGTTGCTGGCCTAGGCCTGCTCTGCCTCTGTGGACTTTCCTAAAATCTCTCAAAGGTCCACAAACCCTAAAAAAGCAGTGGCTGGCCTCAGTGTTCCCTGCACTTCTTGCTAAGTGGCCCCAAACCTGGCACTAGTGGCAGCCGGCCTTGGTTCACAGCATAACCACTCCCAGGCACCTGCAAGCCCAGCACAGATAGCTACAAACCACAAATCACTTTGTGGCTTTTACCAGGTGGCCCTGGGCCTACACACGCAGCAGCTGACCCTGGCATACACTGGAGCCCCTCACAAGAAGCCCCAGAACCAACACACCTGGTGGCCAGCTTCAGACCACACCAGGGCACCACCCAATCAGGGCACACCCCAAGGGTGGATTTGGCAGGCACCCAAGTCCTGCTAAAGTGAATCCTGCTCTGTGGGGTCCCCTGCACAACAGCTTATCCACTGTAGTCACAGGCAGTCCTCACAACCAATCAGCCTAAGGGTCAATCCCACACACTGATATGCCAAGAGCAATCAAAGCTCAACTATAAGAGGAGAGCACACACAACCTACACAACGGACATACCTGGATCACCTGGCTCCGGTGATCAGGGAGACTGTGCCAGGGCCCTACAGGGCACCTACTACATAAGACCACTCTACCAAGACAGGGAGATGTAGCAGATCACAGAAACAAACACAGAGAAGCAGCCAAAATGAGGAGACAAAGAAACCCATGTATCTCAGCCTCTCTCCCCTCATCTCTCCTAGGTTATCAACCATGTATGAGATGTGGAGGGCAGGAAGAAGCACCAACCAGGAATCCTGACTTCAATGACTGTGTTTTACAGTGAGTTGTGCTATCAGTTGAAGTTTATAAGTCCTGGTATAGCCAAACACTCAGACTCACAATTAAGGGCTGAGTTAGCGTGAGCATGTCAAGTGCAAACTTTGCACCATCTTAGATAGTTATGTATAACACTGCGATGGGAACGGTTAATGGTTTCTGCTACTCATAGCACCATCAAACTCTGTCCTGACTGAGATAGAGTGAGGGAAGTGCCGACAGTCTGAATTATTGAGCCTCAGATCAAGCTGGATGGAGAGAAAGAGTGCCTGTCTCCTAGTGAGCTTTCAGTTATCCCCTTAAGCTCTCTGTCAGTCAGGCCTTTAGACAAGCAGGCAGGCATGAAGGGAGGCAGAGGGAGTTGTGGTCAAGCCCCAAGCTTGACGCTTCCCTCAGGAGGAGGGTGAGGGGCTGTGTGGTTGAAGGGAGGTAGGCGCTCCCGTCGGGGATGCACTTTCCCAAACTTGTGGCAGGTGGCTGACAGCTGGCAGGCAGCAGGGAGGCCTGGCAGGGACACAGAGCTCACAGAGATACCACTCAGGCTTCCTGAATCGGGCAGAGAAACAGACTGGGGGGACAAGCCCCACCCCCACTCCAGTATCTCCCCTCTCTGGTGCTTCCGTGACATCTCACCACCAGCCACTAAAGCAAGGCTAGAATGGAATCTTCCTTCCTCAGGAAGCCTTTGTGTCCCAAATTGCCTGCACAGTATGGCTGAATGTTCTAGTTTGGGATATCAGAGATGCTGTTTACCAATTATGTGATCATGCTCAAGGTACTTGGTCTGTCTGTGGTACAGTTTTGTCATTTCTAAATCAGAAATAATCAGTATTTTACCTTATATGGTTGTTGTGAGGATTAAATTATTAGCTAATAGATACAAAGGGTTTAGCACTGTGCTCCATAAATGCTAGTTGCTGTTAGAGATTAAAGTTGGACTTTTTACGAGGGCTCACTCTGGTCTCAAATGACCTTCCCAACTTATCATATCACATTCCGTTCCCACTGGACCAGACTACTTGTTATTCCACTAACATCTTTATACTTTTCTATCTCCAAGACCATTTATGCTGTCATTTTACTAGCTGGTAACTTCTCTGAGTCTCTCTTAAATTGGGATAATAATGTATATCCCAAAGGGTTGTCATGAGTATAAATCCAGGTCATATGGGTGACACATCTCCTGTATGTACAGGGCTGGGTGCCTCTGGTAAGAGAATTTTAATGCATCTTCTCCCTTTGGTTCTGCCACTATGCACAATGTGAATTTTTCAAATGACACTAACTCTTTTATTTTTTTCACTTGGAAAGTGCAGATGGTAACACCCCCACCTCATCATGCTACAGTGAGATTTAAGAGAGGGACTTTGTGATACAAAATGCCTTTCTCAATTAATGCTCAGTAAGTGGGAGGTAAGAGTGGGTACACACGAACTGTGTCATCGTCCAGGCCTGCAGGCCATGCAGCCACTGCCTTTACAGGCTTGGCGCTGAGTCTGTCTTGTTGCCTATCTCATGTTTGTTCTCCTCGGAAATATGGATGAGAAGGACAGAATAATGTGGTGGAAACAGGTCCAGGCCAGGAACCCAAAGACCACGATTCTAGTCCTATTTCGTTCACTGGCTGGCTGTATGCGTTTAGGCAAACCTATATAATCTCTGTGGGTCCCCGTTTCCTCATTTTTAACTGAGGTAATATTTGGGAGGTACATAATCCATCCAGGAATGCTTCCTGAACCAGCTTACTTGTGTTCTCAGGGACTTGACCTTGCTGTGGGGCTCAGTGGCTCCACCTTCAGGTTAAGCCTTTCTGAGGCATCGCTCTTGTACCTTCAAACCTTTTAATGTTGAGTAGGTTTCTCTGCCCCTTCCAAGACTCCTGGGTGGATCATGCAGGCCCTATGTCCTCAGGTTGCTATTCTCAGGTTCCCCAGAGTCCTACTTGCACAGGCAGTGGCTGGGTAATTAATTCCAAATACATGTGTTCTCCTGGAGGGTCGTGCCTCACTCCCTGATCTCACTGACCTTTACCTACAGGTGTGGCCTCTGCTTAATATGAAAGGCATCCTTCTTCAATAATGGCTCAGTGCCATCTTGGGGAGGGGTCTCCCTAAAAAGTAGTTTGTGCAGATTCTTGTCCAAGATGGGACAGTCACCATGTGAAAATGCTGTACCTGACCAAGGGGAAGAGGGGGCCGGTGTCTGCTACATTGCCCTCTGGAGGTTTTGACAGTGAAGAACCAAGCAACTGGAAGCAAGAGGCAGAAACAGGCCATCACTACTCAGATAAGCATCTGGAAGGATTGGAAATGGCTTTAGCCTGGAAAAGAACTTGGAATGTTTAGGACAGACGCATCCCAGGGGTTGACAGACGTCTTAGGAACGTTACAAACACAGCTTCTTCAGGAAGTAGATCTATCCTGCATGGTTTGGGGGACATTCTTTTTCATCCCAATAGCAATGGATTTACCACCAACGACTGCAGAATAGTTTTCTCTTTCTTTCTTTTGTGCATTTTCCTTCCTAGGCATGCTGGAATCATTATATAACATCATCTCCAAGATTGTAAGCCTTCTCCTGCCTGAAGGAACTAACTCAGAAATGCATTCTGCTTACTGGGAAATAATTTAGTCAACAAACAGAGCTCTATTTGGTTGAAATCCTTCCTCGTGGAGCCCACAGCACTCTGTTTACCTGTTTATATTCATGACTCTGTATGAACTGCGCCTTTCCCAAACATTTGGCATGAACTATTATTTTACTAAGAATGGGAGGAACCAGACTATCATTAAGCTTTCTAGGGTGTCTCGGAGCTGATAGACTCACCTGAAAAATGTTGGCAAAGTCTCTGAGATTGAAGATATAGTGGAATTTGATTGCCGTTGGTAGGAATGTGGTGGCAATTTTCTGATGGAAGGTAAGGGCCAGATTGATCAGCTGGGGAATGGACTTCTGTAGTGATGCTGGGAAGTTTCCAAGCTTTAGGTGCTGAGTCAGGATGGTGCTGTAGATGGAGGACAGGGCATCTGCTCCCGGAAAGGAGAGGACAAACACACTGAAGTGACGCTGTACAAGGAAACAGAGGCATGTGGAGGCAGTCTGAGCTAGACATCCGTTATCAAAGAATAAAATTACCTTTTCTAAATTTGGATAAAACAATGAAGAATTCTTACAAGGGCTCTGAATTCTATATTCTAGTCACATTTTTCACATTAAACTCAAATTTAGGTTGAATCTAAAATGACTGGGGGAATAATGGGCTTTGGACCTTGGGTCAAAGATGCCACTATGGGGTAGTAGGAAATGAAGTGAACTTGAGCTCAGGGAATCTGAATCCAAATCTGAATTTGATACTGAGTATCCACATGACCTTGAAAGAATCATTTCATCTCTCTCAAATTTTCTTGTTCAGAATGATGAGTTAAATCACATGAATTCTATGATCCCTTCCAGCTCTAAAAGCTTCGTGACTTTGGGTCTAGAAGTTTCTCTGTCTTCCTAGAAATACAAGTCAGCATCCTGTAACATTTACCACTCTAAAAAGGCTGAATGGAGAAGAAGGCCCAAGATGGTGGATTAGGTAAATGCTATGCTTGGTGCTTCCCAGGATCACATTAAAACTACAACTAAATTACAGAACAATCAACCTCAAGAATCATCTGAAGACTGGCTGAACAGAAGCCCTATAACTAATGATATAAAGAAGCGGCCACATTGAAACTGGTATGAGTGGCAGAGACGTGAAATAGGCTGACCCCAAACTCAGAGGTAGTGACTGAACACCAGGAAGGACACCCTGGTGGTGGAGGTCCCTCCCTGAAAAGTGAATGATGACTGACCACTGTATTCCCAGGGCATTTTGCAGAGTGGCCACAGACTTAGCACTGGCACAAGAACTGAATCTGCATTACCTTTGTAAAAACCACTGGTGGTGCCTTGTGACTCCCTGGAGCCCATCCCACCCAGCTAGTGCTACATCACCAGGGACACTATCAGCACTGGCTCAACCAGCTTGGCCCGTGAACGTAAGGAGGCTCTTTCAGCAGCTGAGCCTTACAGGCAGTCGGCAGGTGGTAACAGGCCTAGAGGGGCCTGGACCTTTTGCTAAGCTGCCCCAGGTCCATTATTGGTGGCAGCCAGCCTCGGTTCAAGGCGAGGCCACCCCCACATGCCACTAGGTTCAGCACAGGCAGCATCCAACCACATATAGCTTTGTAGCTCCTACCAGGTAGCCCTGGGCCGGTTAGAGATAAGGCTGAAATTGCCTGCACAGGAGCACCTCTCAAGAGACACCAGAAACAACATACACAGAGGCCAGCTTCAGACCACACCAGAGCAGTACCTGGCTAGCCCCACAAGCTTCACACCCAAAGTGTGGTCTAAACAGGCACAAGAGCCACTGGGGACAATCCCCCTCTGAGGGGTCAGCCCCCACACAGCAGCTCATACACTGTGGGTGTATCTAATCCTCACAGCCAGTCAGCCTAAGAGTCAAAATCAGTGCACCAAAATCAATCAAGGCTCAACTACAACATGAGAATACACACAACACACACAGGGACACTCCTGTAACACATGAACAGGAGATCAGGGAGACTGCACCACTGGACCACACAGGACACATACTACATAAAGGCACCTGGCAGAGACTGAGAGACATAGGAGACCTACCTAACACATAGAAGCAAACACAGAGAGGCAGGCAGAATGAGGAAACAAAGAAATATGACCCAAATAAAAGAACAGAACAAACCTCCAGAAAAATAACTAAATGAAATAGAGGCAATCAACCTACCGGAGAGACAGAGTTCAAAACAATGGTTATAAGGAAGCTCAAGGAACATAGGGAGAACTTCAACAAAGAGACAGCAAGCATAACGAAGGACACAAATACCACAAAAAAGAACTAGTCAAAAATAAAGAATACAATAACTGAAATGAACTATACTAGAAGGAATCAAGAGCAGATCAGATGAAGCAGAGGACAGAATCAGCAATTTAGAAGACAAGGTAGCAGAAAACACCCAATCAAAATAACAAAAAGAAAAAAGAATTAAAAAAAAAGATAGTTTAAGAGACCTTGGGAAAACATCAAGTGTAACAACATTTATATTATAGGAGTACCAGAAGGAGAAGAGAGGGACTAAGAACCTATTTGAAGAAATAATGACTGAAAACTTCCTTAACCTGGTGAAGGAAATAGACATACAAGCCCAGGAAGTACAGAGAGTCCCAAACAAGATGAAGCCAAACAGGCCCACACCAAGACACATTATAATTAAAATGGCAAAGATTAAAGACAAAGAGAGAATCCTAAAAGCAACAAGAGAAAGACAACTAGTTATTTATAAGGGAGCTTCCATAAGACTATCAGCTGATTTCTCAACAGAAACTTTGCAGGTTAGAAGAGAGTAGCAGGAAATATTCAAAGGGATGAAAAACAAGGGCCTACAACTAAGACTACTCTACCCAGCAAGGCTATCATTTAAAATTAAAAGAGAGATACAGAGCTTCCTGGACAAGAAAAAGCTAAAGGAATTAATTATCACCAAGCCAGTATTACAAGAAATGTTAAAATGATTTTTTTAAGAAGAAAAGCGGAAAACAAACAAAAGAAGATAAAAAATATGAATAATAAAATGGCAATAACCATGCACCTATCAATAATCACATTAAATATAAATGGATTAAATGTTCCAATCAATAGATATAGGGTAGCTGAATGAATAAGAGAACAAGACCCATGCATATATTGTCTACAAGAGACCCACTTCAGATTGAAAGACACACATAGATTGAAAGTAAAGGGATGGAAAAAGATATTTCACACAAAGGGAAACAAGGAAAAAGCTGGGGGTAGCATTACTTATATCAAAGAAAATAGACTTTAAAATGAAGACTATAATAAAAGACAAAGAAAGACATTACATAATGATAAAGGGATCAATCCAACAAGAGGACCTAACCCTAGTAAACATCTAAGCACCCAACATAGGCGCACCTAAAAATATAAAACCAATACTGACTGACATAAAGGCAGAGACAGATAGTAACACAATCATAGTAGGGGACTTTAACACCCCACTGACACCAACGGACAGATCTTCCAGACAGAAAATCAACACGGAAACAGTAGCCTTAAATGACACACTATACCAGATGGATTTAAGTGCTATTTTTAGAGCATTTCACCCCCAAAGTAGCAGAATATACATTCTTTTCAAGTGCACAGGAAACATTTTCCAAGAGAGACCACATGGTAGACCACAAAACAAGTCTCAGTAAATTTAAGAAGATGGAAATCATATCAAGCATCTTCTCTGACCACAATGGCATGAAACTAGAAATCAATTACAAGAAAAAGCCCCTGAAAACACATGGAGGCTGAATAAAATGCTACTAAACAATGAATGGGTCAACAATGAGGTCATGGAAGAAATCAAAAGATACCTTGAGACAAAACGAAAAGGAAAACACAATGACCCCAAATCTATGGGGAACAGGAAAAGCAGTTCTCAGAGGGAAATTCATAGCAATGCAGGCCCCAAGAAACATACAAAAAAAATGTCAAATAAGAAATCTAACTTTACACCTAAGGGAACTGGGTATAGAACAGCAAACAAAGCCCAAAGTGAATACAAAAAAGGCAATAATAAAGACCCGAGCAGAAATAAATGAAATAAAAGCTAAAAATTACAAAAGATCAATGAAACCAAGAGCTATTTTTTTGAAAAGATAAACAGAATTGACAAACCTTTAACCAGACTCATCCAAAAAAAAAAAAAAAAGGACCCAAATAAATACAATCAGAAGAAATGAAAGAGGGGAAGTGACAACTGACACCTATGATTAACAAATTGGACAACCTGGGAGAAGTGGATAAATCCTAGAAGCATACAATCTTCCAAGGCTGAATAAAAAATATAAAAAAAGAAAGAAAAACTGAAGCAACAAATAACTACTAATGAAATCAAATGAGTAATCAACAAGCTCCCAACAAACAAAAGTCCTGGACCAGATGGCATCACAGGTGAATTTTACCAAGTGGTCAAAAAACAATTAATACCTATTCTTCTCAAATTATTCCAAAACATTCAAGAGGATGGAAGGGTCCCAAGCTCACTTTATGGGGCCACCATTACCCTGATTCCAAAACCAAAGACATTTCAATAAAATAAAATAAAATAAAACTATAAGTTGATATTCCCAATGAACATGGATGCAAAACCCCTCAACAAAATATTAGCAAACGAAATTTGGCAATACATTAAAAAGATCATACACCACAATCAAGTGGTATTCATTCCTGGTGTGCAAGGTTGGTTCACTATCCACAGATCAGTTAATATGATACACTACATGAGCAAAATGAAAAATAAAAATCATATGCTCATATTAATGGGTGCAGAAATAGTGCTTGACAAAATCCAGCACCCATTTATTATAAAAACTCTCAGCAAAGTAGGAATAGAGGGAACATATCTCAACATAATAAAAGTCATATATGACAAACCCACAGCTAATATACTCAATGGGAAAAAACTAAAAGCATTCTCCTTAAGATCAGGAACAAAGCAAAGATGTCCACTTTCACTACTTTTATTCAACATAGTACTGGAAGTCTTAGCCACAGCAATCAGACAAAAAAAAAGAGAAAAGAAATAAAAGGCATCTAAATGGGAAAGGAAGAAGTAAAACTATCATTATTTGCAGATGACATGATACTATATGTAGAGAACCCCAAGATTCCACCAAAAAAGATTATTAGAACTGATAAATGAACTTAGTAAAGTAGCAGTATACAAAATTAATATTCAGAAATTTGTTGCATTTTTATCCACCAATAATAAACTACCAAAAAAATAAATTAAGAAAATAATCCCATTTACAATCTGCATAAAAAAAATCTAGGAATAAATTTGACCAAGGAAGTATAAGACCTGCACTCAGAAAAGTATAAGACATTGAAGAAAGAAATTAAAGAAAATACAAATAAATGGAAACATACACCATGCTCGATAGGAAAAATTAATATAGTTAAAATGTCCATACTTCCCAAAGCATTATACAGATTCAATGCAATCCCTATCAAAATACCAATGACATTTTTTTTCACAGAACTAGAGCAAATAATCCTAAAATGTATTGTATATGAAACCATAAAAGACCCCGAATAGCCACAGCTATCCTGAGAAAGAAGAAAAAAGCTTGAGGTATCACATTTCCTGATATCAAACTATGTTACATGGCCATAACAATCAAAACAGCATGGTATTGGCATAAAAACAGACACATAGATCAATGGAACAGAGTAGAGAGCCCAGAAATAAACCCACACTTATATGGTCATTTAATCTATGATAAAGGAAGCAAGAATATACATTGGGGTAAAGACAGTCTATTTAATAAGTGGTGCTTGGAAAATGAGACAGAGACATGAAATAAAATGAAACTGGACTGTCTTCTGCTCCATATACAAGAATAAACTCAAAATGGATTAAAGACTTAAATGTAAGACCTGAAACCATAAAACTCCCAGAAGAAATATAGGAAGTAAACTCTCAGACATTATCCTTAGTAATATTTTTACTGATATATCTCCTTGGGCAAGGGAAACAAAAGAAAAAATAAACAAATGAAATGACATCAAACTAAAAAGTTTTTGCACAGCAAAGGAAACCATCAACAAAATGAAAAGACATCCTACTGAATGGAAGATATTTGCCATTGATACATCTGATAAGGGGTTAATATCCAAAATTTATAAAGAACTCATATAACTCAACACCAAAAAAGAAAAAAACAAAAAACAGCCAAACAATTCAATTACAAAATGGGCAGAGGACCTGTTAGACATTTCTCCAAAGAGGACATACACATGGCCAATAGACATATGAAAGATGATCGTCACTAACCTTTAGAGAAATGCAAATTAAAACCACACAGAAATATCACCTCACACCTGTCAGAATGGCTATCATCAATAAATCAACAAACAACGAGTGTTGGTGGGGATGTGGAGAAAAGGGAACCCTAGTGCACTGTTGGTGGGATTGCAAATTGGTACAGCCACTATGGAAATCAGTATGGAGTTTCCTCAAACTAAAAATAGAACTACCTTATGACCCAACAATTCCAATTCTGGGTATTTATCCAAAGAAGTCCAAAACATTGATTTGAAAAAATATACGAGGTCTGTCAATTAAGTTCGTGAATTTGTTGCAACAATGTTGCTAATGTTTTTTTATATCAGAGGGATTATTCATTATGAATTTGTACCAACTGGACAAAATAGTTAACCAAGTTTCCTATTTGGAAGCGCTGAAAAGGCTGCGTGAAAAACTTAAGGGAAAGGACCTGAACTTTTCACCAACAATTCATGGCTCTTGCATCACGACAGTACCGGCTCACACGGCACTGCCTGTGAGAGAGTGTTTAGCCAGTAAACAAATAACTGTATTGGAACACCCTCCCTACTCTCATCTGTTCTGGCCCCCAGTGACTTTTTTCTTTACCCAAAGATAAAGGGAATATTGAAAGCAAGACATTTTGATGACATTCAGGACATCAAGGGTAATAGGACAACAGCTCTGATGGCCATTCCAGGTAAAGAGTTCCAAAATTGCTTTGAAGGGTGAACTAGGCACTGGCATGGGTGCATAGCTTCCCAAGCAGAGTACTTTGAAGGTGACCATATTGATATTCAGCAGTGACGTATGTAGCACTTTTTCTAGGATGAGTTCATGAACTTAATTGTAAGACCTTCGTATGCACCCCTATGTTTAGTGCAGCGCTATTCACAATAGCCAAGATATGGAAACAAATTAAATGCCCATCAATAGATGGTTGGATAAGAAACTGTGTTACATATATATAATGGAGTATTACTCTGCCATAAAGAAGCAAATGAAATCTTACAATTCGCAAAACATGTATGCACCTAGAGGGTATTATGCTTAGTGAAATAAGTCAGACAAAGACAAATACCATATGATCTCATTTACATGTGGAATCTAAAGAACAGAATAAATAAACAAACAAAACAGAAACAGACTCATAGATACAGAGAACAAATTGATGGTTGTGAGATAGGAGAGGGTGTGGGGGAGTTGGGTGAGAAAGGTGAAGGGATTGGGAAGTACAAATTGGTAGTTACAAATCATGGGGATGTAATTTACTGTATGGAAAATATAGTCAATAATATTGTAACAACTATGCATAGTTTGAGATGGTACTAGACTTATCAGGGGGATCACTTCATAAATTACGTAAGTGCCTAACCACTGCACTGTATACCTGAAAATAATACAAATTAATATTGAATGTCAACTGTATTTCAAAAAATATATATTGATGGGGTGTAAAGTATAGCATAGGGAACATAGTCAATGGTATTGTAACAGCTAAGCGTGGTGTCAGAGGGGTAATAGACTTGTTGGGGGTACCACTTTGTGAAGTGTGTAAATGTCTAATTACTATGTTGTTTTATATACCTGAAACTAATAAAAAAAGAAATAAATCTCTAAATAAAAAATAACTCATGTAACTGTTAAAAATACTATAAGAATTCTAAAATAAATTTGTTGTTTTTTTGAAATTTGCTTTTTATAGGCACTATCAGTACCTGAAATAAAGCACCTCCAGTTTTAAACCTAACATTGTATTTTGCTGGGGATTTTGCAGCATCCCTGGCAGTGAGCACAGAGAGACGTGTGCAGTGACAGGCTGGGAGACATCTGTTACATTGCTGGCTCTCCTGATGGAGCAAAACAAGCTTGCTGAAGAAACTGCATGTAAATTCCATCTTAAATATCTGTGATGCATCAAAGTATAAAATTTCTAGCAGTGGAATAAGCATACAGTTCCTTGCATTATTCCATCCCAAAATGCTTCTCTGTACAGCTAATGTAACAGGACAGTCAGAGCTCTTATAACAACAAAAACTTTAACCCCTAAGATTTGTCATTGTCCTAATCAATTGTTGTACCTTTATTATTACCAATGACACCCGTTTTAGTTTTTGGATCTTTAGCATAAGCACAAGCACACGTGTGGAAAAGTGAAATAATCAGTATTCAGAAACGTGAATGAGGCCAGCAAAGTCAGCCTAAAATCTGATAATCATATCTAACTAAGGAATAGTGTTTTAGCAATAAAATTACAGGACAATTCTGTTACTTAAAATATATAAAATAGAAATAAAAAATGAGAGCAGCAAGACCTTTTTATTTTAATATAAAACTATTCCAATGTACTCCTGGAAGGAAAATAAACCCAAGTTTTTCATTGTTAAAACAATGCATCAACTTTCATAAAAATCTTTTTTATGTTTGTTTATATGCTTCTAACTTTTTATTGCCCAAAGTATACAGATAGGTACTATAAAACATCAGTATTCTCTAAAACATCCTATATAAGATATAATGTCCTATGTATTTGGCTGGTTATATTGCTACACTGCTTAGTTTTAACTGGTTTGTTTTCATAGTATCAGAAGAAAAAAATAATTGAAAACAAAATCATATGGGGTTGATAATCACACAAAAAAGAAAAATACCATTTTGTAAATGACTGAAAGATAAAGCATTCTTTATCAAGAGGGCTCCTCGTTGATGTCAGGCTGTCACATGGGATAACTCTGCACTGCCCAGCCATGCTTCTTCAATGCGCTGGTCACATTTAAACTTAAGAGGACGCATATGATAGTTAGAAAGGTCAGTCCTGTGGACCCAGGGAACATCCCATAAATGTTGCTTCATAATAATATGGTTGTACAAAATAAATGCTCTTAAGGAAATAACTTACGTTAACATTTGCTACTTTTAAATATAAATAAATCCCATTGAAAACACACACACACACACATACAAAGGCTGGACAGGGAAAGGGCCAATTATTATTTTTGATCCAGTGACATCAGCCCTGGCAATGCAGTATTTTGTGTCCCAGTACCATGGCTCCTCCCATACCTGAAGCCGAGGGTTGATGGTGAAGCTGCCTGCTGTGGGGTTCATACAGGAAACATACTGCACATTCATGATCTCCTTCAGAGACAGCTTATTCCGATCATACCTGGAACAGTCAGGAGCCACAGGTGAGAGCTGTGTAAGGGCCCAGTTGTCAAGGTAACGTGCGATGTGCCCTATCATTCATGTTTGGGTAGTATAAAAAAAAGTCTAGATCCACTGGTAGTGATTCAGAAGAGACAAGAGCCTAGAACAAAATCCTTAGGGGTCCAATATTTATGGAAATAGCATAGGAAGAAGAGACCACAAAGATGGACTAAGAGATAGGAGGAAAGTCAGGGGTACATGGCACCCCCCAAAGGCAAGGGAAGTCAGTATTTCCAAAATGAGAAAGCAGTCAACCATGTTAAATGCTGCAAAGAGAATAAAAAAGATGGTGACCCAACAGGGTCTGCTTGACATCATAATAAAGATACAGTTAGCGGTTGGACCAGTGTTGGTTAAGAGCTGGCTTGGGATGCCAGCTATGAGCAGCAGGGCCCTGGTTCGGATCCCACATGAGGGCCAGTGACACTGCCCTCTACAGCTAAGATGGTGAACAACAGCTCAACCTGGAGCTGGGCTGCAGTGAGTCGCTGGCGATGGCGTAGGCTGTGGTGAAGCTGAAGTAGGCTGCCATGGGCTACCGTGAGTGGCCAGCAGCCAGCGTGAGCAGCCGTCCAGAGGCCGGCGACTGATCTGCCTCATTTGGGAAGAGCGCAATGATAATACCAACATGGGCCAGTGAAGTGGCATCTTCCACAACTAGACTGAAGAACAAAAGGACAGCAACTTGTTTGTTCCCCTTCCCTGATTCCCCAATGCTGTTCCCCTGCCCCAATTCCCCAATAAAAATCTTTAAAAAAAATACAGTTAGTAGTTGAGCAAGAAATGTTTAGTAAAGTGCAGGAAATAGAAACTAAGTAATGGTGGACTGGGGAGTGAGTGGGAGATGAGGGAGTGAAGACAAAGGAACTTGCTTATGTGGAGAGAGAGGGACAGAGCAGTAATTAGAAAATGATTTTTATAACACAATAGAAGAAATGTATACAAATTTAAATACTGATGTGAAGGAGACACGGAGACTAACTGATCACGTGAGGATGTCAGGAGGTGGAAGAGAGTAGACTCAAGATGCTCATGGGTAGTTGAGCCTTAGGGAAGGTGTAACAGGAGGAAGAAAAGGATGCATGGGGATGCAAGTGAGTTGTACAGATGTGGAAGCAAGTGACGGAGATGGTGTGATCATTAGCTGAGATGGAGTAGGAAGCTTGAGGAGAGGGGAGGAGGTATGAAATGGACATTTCTGAGAGCGGAAATGTAGACAGATGAAGGCAATATGGTCGAGTTTCCAGGAAGTTTCTCAAACTTCCCATTTGAGGTTTGTGACCACGAGTCCAAAGTAAAACTAGTAAGCATGACTTTGTATTTCTTCCAGTCTATACAGTTCAGCTTCTCTGATGCTGGTGTGGAGAATTTGGGTAGTTGTACATAGCAGGCATTAAGAGAAGGCTTCCAAATGAATGAAAGGCAACTCAGTTTACCATCACAACTATGCAACTACGGTTCTCTCTGAATTCCCTCTTCATACGCCCCACTCTTCTGTAGCAGCTGATTCAGTGTCAGGTAGGAAGGTGAGCCAAAATGGTCTCAAATCACTGACTTGCTTGTTTTTTGGGGTTTTTTTCTGGCAAGTTCACACCTTTTGCCATTAAAAACTATACTGTTGCAAGAAGTAATATCAGACCCTGTGAGTTGCTCTGAAGAGGCAAAGGCTGTTAAGACCTGCAGACAAGTGCACTACTCGTATACAGTGTGTTAAGTACTGCTGTGGAAATGCCTTCTCAGTGTATGGGACCGCAGTGGGGGCAGGGGAGTGGTTAACTCTGCTTTGGGGTTTGGAGGAGAAAACTACTGAGATGAATTGAAGATAAAAGTAGGCTTTTTTCCTTAGATGAGAACTCAGTACCTTCTTTTCATGTGGGTAGTAATGCCCCTGTCTGAAAGTGCACTCCAGGAGATGGCACTGCCTTAGCCGTCCCCCCCCATCCCTGCCAACCCCAGTCCCTTTGTAGGTCCTCTCACCAATGGCCGTAGTCCAGGTGCTGCCTGATGATAGTGTGGGGCTGCACAGTCCCGTAGGCATCCACCTCCGGCATGTTCATGTCATCAATGAAATAGATCAGCTTCTTGTTGCCTGGGGGGCCATAATTTCTGCCAGCCTTCTTTTCCAGAGGCTTCTCCAGGACAGCTGAGGAGAGAGCCAGTTAGTGACGGAAGGATGTTCAAACCTCAGCTGCCAGTACTAAGACAGTACAGAAGTCAAAGACAAGCCATGGAGCAGTGTACATGTGCACGCAGACAACGGCCGCAGCTACGTTACCAGGCGTCAGTGTTCTGCAGGACCCGGGGGGATGACATTGCAATGACCTGTTGACAGTATCCACCAGACATGGAACTTCTTGCAATGGGTGGTGTGTTAGGAGTTACAAATATTAATTACCTCATTTTATCCTTATCATATACTGTAAGATTAGCATTATCTCCCCATTTTACAGATGAGGGAACTGAGGCTCAAAAGAACAAAGGAACTTTTCTAAGGTAGAGCCAGGATAGGGATTCAGAGCAGTTAAATGACAAAGTCCATGCTCCTCCTATCATACTTGTGGTCCCAGTTTTCTTTGCTTATAGACCAGAAACAGGAGATTCCTTGACAGTCCTAAGGCCTTCTATTGTAACCCTGAGGCAATCCACAAATAACCAGACCCTAGGTAGACCTGGCTTTTGTACCTAGAATAGCAGAGGAGCTTGAAGGCTGTGACTTCCACCCCTGGGCTAGAAGAAAGGCATTATTAAATACTTTGTCAACAGTGTTCTCAAAGTGTTTACCTCCTGGGGTTTTCCCTAGGGGGAAGAAAAACAACAGCCTCAGAGAATTTCCCTGAAGCTTCTAGTATCCTGAAGGGCTCCGCCCCCAGCCTTCAGGTTATCAGGCCAGAGTCTCAGTGTCTTTCTGGAGACTCAGTAGGGCTCTTTTCTGGAGCTATTTCTTTAATTATCCAGCCAGAGGGAAGAAATCAAACAGCATCCCTTCCCAGCATGACAGGACTTGTTCAGAACAAGCTTAAGTCATAGGGTGGAGGTATATATATTTTTTTCAATCAAGCAATTAAATATTTCTGTATTGCAAGAACCAACACTTCCTATTACAGCTGGAAGCTCTGAGAACTGATTCCTTCTCTTGAAAAACAAGTTTGTAAACAAGGAGAAAGTGTCAAGAGACATATGAAGGTGACAGATAGAAAGACAAGTTCTTTCATGAAGCTTGAATATTCTAATTTTCTGGTGCTGAGTTAAATTAAGTGTTTAAAATATGAATTAAATTTAAATTTAATTAGCATCCAATTAACATACACTATCAACCAATTAATCACCCAACACCTTCTTCCCCCCTAAAGATATAACAACTATATACAAGATCTGTCAAAATGAAATATAATTAATGGGCTGCTGGAGACACGGTTTTGAGAACAGTCCTTCTAGTAGGAAATTCTCTCCTTAGGAAGACTTGTTTCTCCTTGCAAAGCAGTGATAATCAAATCAACTCCTGGAATTAAGCAGACCCTGTAATTTGGGTGATTAAGCTCTTTATGCTTCTAAAGGATTGTTGAGGAGAAAAGCATGTCGGCTAGGAAGAAGTGGACTTGGAACGCACTGGATTATCTCCAAAGCACGATGTTAAGTGCCCCAGAGAAAGAGAGGGCCCCTAGGAAAGGCGCACACACTTTCGAGCCCTTCTTGGCCAAGCTCTGCTCCAAGGATGGAATGGGAGCAAGTTACTCTGTTTCCAGACAGACCTGGAGGAGCAGAGTGGGTTTAAGGTTCAGGAAACATGTTGATGATATTGACGGTGCTAAACACTTGAGACATATAAAGAAATGTGACCCTCCCACCACATTTCTGGTTTCTGCATTGTTGTAAACAAGTCCTGAGCGTCAGGCCCAGACCCGGGCCCGGAGCTCACCTGTGCCATCGCACTGGATTTCTCCACAGGGACCAGCTTGGCGTTCAGATGGTGGCCGCATAGAGCCGCACCAGTAGCCCTCTATGTGTTTATTCATGCTGCTCCTCCAGTACTATTTCACCACCATCATACATTTGAAGAGCAATTTCATTTTCAAAGTGGCTTCCCAACTGTTATCTCGTTTCACCATCTCCACTGCCACCATCCTTGTCCATCAGCTCTCACCTGGTCACTATGAAATCCTCCTAAAAAGTCCTTGTACTTTCACCCTAGATTCCTTCACTATATTGTCAAAACAGCAGATAGGGTATCCTTGTAAGACACAAACCAGACCACGCCAGTCCCCTGTATAAAACTCTCTGATGGCATCCCATCTCACTTGGGGCAAATGCCCATCTGGTTACAACCACAAACTTTGCATCTGTTTCTCTCTCCTGCTCTCTCCTCTTCACTCCATATGCTTCTGACACACTTGCTGCCTCAGGGCCTTTGCTCTGGCTGTCTTCTCTGCCTGGAGTTCTTTCTCCCAAACAACAGTAAGTTTGCTTCCTTAGTTCCATCAGGCACTTATTTCCTCAAATGTCATTTTCTCTGTAAGCCTGGCACTCTATCTAAAATGAACCCCCTACCTCCTATTCCCTGTCCCCACTTAATTTTTCCTCCATAACACTTATTACCACTTAATATCCTATACATTTTACTTATGTATGTTGTTTATTATCTTACCCCTTCCACACTCTAAACTTCACGAGACCAGGAATCTTTCTGTTTTTCTCATTGTCATAACCCCAACTGTCATAACCTCAGCACATAGAATATTACCTAGCATAAAACAGAATGTTCAAAAACATTTATTAATTTAAGGAATAAATGAATGAATTTTATTATTACAACAAACCCTATGAACAGGCAAAGAGAGACTTATCATCCATGTTGGAACTAAGGAGACAGAGACTCAGGCAGGTTGAATGCCTTGCTGGAATTAGAATCCGTGCCTGTGGATACCGATTTTACTGCTTTAGTATCACCAGGGTGAAAGTTGTAAGCCCTCACATCCCAACCCCTCTCTAGGGTCGTCCCTGACCGTTCCAGCCCTATTAATTCCTCCAGCTTCTGAATTCTAGAGCAGTACATTCATTCATCCATGGGGCAGTACTACTAGGAATCTGGCTCTATACAGAGGACTTGAGTGCATGATAGACTTCTAAAGGCAGCCTTATCATGTATCATCAAACGCTTTAAACAAGATTTTTTCACAAACAAGAAAACTAAGGCTTAGAGAAACTGAGGGACTTTATCCAAGGTCAGGATTCTATCCCAGGTCACCTTATGTAACTACCACTGCAGACTACCTCTCAAACAGTACTACAGCATGGCTTCTGCCCTTCAGAAATCCCCAGTTTAGTTAACTCATTGCCTGACCATACTTTTGACAGAGATCATTAGTAATTAATTATGTCTTACTCTGCATCGACATGATTTATGTGTTTCAACTATGTTCCTTCCACCTTATCTAATTTTTCATGTGTTAAAATGTTTCAATTACATTGTGAGAGCTTTATGTTTATTCTTTCAAAAAATAACATTCTTTGCATTATAAAAATAATACATATTCATTATATAAAGATTAAAAGGCATACAAAATCACAATGATAAAAAGGAAAATTGTCCATAATTCTGTTACCTAGTAATAAGCATCACTTTCAGAACTTTGGTGTATTTCATTCTAGTCTACTTGCTGTTAGATTTTTCCTTTGTAAAATCAGAATTATACTGCATGTTCTGCATATATATATATAAATATTTTGATTTCAGATATTGTAAACATCTTTATGTGATAATACATACCCTCCTAAAACTTGATTTTAATGGTTGCATTGTATTTCAGAATTTGGAGGCATCAAAATTTATGGAATGGTTTTATTGTCTGAGACACATTGTTTTAAATTTCCTTATACTTTGAAACTCATTTCCCCTCTTCCAAGCAGAGTGTCTTACCCACTAGAGAGAAATCTTTGGTGACTTAATTTTGTGTCATCTCCTTTTTGAAAGGCATTAAGGCAAGTGGACGCATGTTGTCCATCTGTGATAATATAAGCTTGATGTTCCTTTGAGGTTGAGTTTGATCAGACCTTTGATGGTCCTGTCCAACCTAAATTTTTAAGAACAAGTTATGGAGATTTGTTTCACACAAAGACTCAGACACCTGAGCTCCTATCTAATTAGTATGATCAAGCACGCAAATATTTGTTGAACTAATAATTCAGATTGCAGTTGGGAGGCAGGAGAGCTCAGAACTGTGAAGGGCATCATCTCTGGCCCATTCTCTCTGTACTGCAAATAGAAGCCCGTTGATGCCTTCGCCAAGTTCATTGCTCCTCGATTTCCCTTTCTAGACTATCCTGTCTCTGGGTCATTGCAAAGCTCTTATTTTAAAAAATTACTTAGGGGTGACCGGTTAGTTCAGTTGGTTAGAGTGCAGTGCTGATAACACCAAGGTTGCCAGTTCGATATCCGCATGGGCCACTGTGAGCCGCACCCTCCTTGAAAAAGTCAACTATGCCATTGTAGCATGAAAGCAATGTGTAACCAATGACCATGGCTGTTCCCCAATAAAATAAAAAAATAAAAAAATAAAAATTACTTATATTTTCAAAAAGAATGAGAAGAGGCTTAAGGTAGTTTAATAGAACACAGACCAATTAAAATAAAGGCTAAAATAGGTTCCAAAACAATATTGAAGAAGAAACTTCTTTGCACCAGTAATCTAAGAAAACATAGTTACTGTAACCAAATAAAAATGTATCTCACATGGCCCTCTATGAACTGCATACTTGGAAGCTCAGAACAGAACTTGAGTTTAATTACAGTAACCACGTCATCCAGGATTACTGGTACAAATCCATCTCTACTTTGATATGAGAAAATTTTTCAGGCACAAAATTCTAAAAGGCATATATATTATGAATACTTACTAAAGGTTTATCAGGCTACATCATCCACTGAGATTTAACAGAAGATATAAAAATATCTTAAAATTATCTTTTATCATCCTAACCCTTAACAAAACCCAAGGGTGGGCATTAGATTGCAACTCAGTGAAGGGAATGAAAGCAGTGCAACTGGGTTGTGGAGTGTAGAGAAGCTGGAGGAACAGAGCACAGACCTCTGTCTCTCTACTGGAGGTGCCAGCCTTATTAATGTATGTCTTGTGCAGCTGTTGGGGA